TAGTTCAGGTGCATTGATCTTAAAACATAATGAATCGATACTGAGTGAAACATCCTTATTATTATATTGCATTTAATTGCATTTTATAACCGTAAATATTGTACAGTATTACCAGGCTAGTAAAATGTCGTAGGCTACAATCTGCGTAATGACAATATTCCATAATTACGGCCAACGCCGATGGTTTTGAGAAACAGCCGATAACCGTATTATAATAAATAATATTATATTTATGTATGTAAAGGCAATATCAGTGTATGACCATGTTTTAAAATTTTTAGCATCATTATATTATATTTTAGTTATTGAATTCGTATTTCTTCGTAATCGTAGGACATACTCCTAATATTATGCTTTATGGATATATTATACGTTAATACCTATTACCTATTTCAAAAATGTATATTGGTGGTGAATAATACTGGAAACAAGGCTTGGGTTTCCCTGATTTGGTTATTTAAATGTATGTAAATGTAATAAGGGAACCTATTTAAAAATACACAGTTTTTTCCTTGTATAAAATTCTAAAAAATCTCAGTGTTGACCAAACCGAACTAGACCGTGACCATAAAGCTTAAGCAGAAAAAAGCCCTATTTACTGTTTTTAAATCGTAGATTGATCCGAACGGGACCACTCGATTTATTACTTTGCTATAAACGAAAAAAAAAAAAGTTGCTATTGTAAATCGAACCAAAATCGGCCGGACATCTTTGGTGTTCAATGTAAAAAGACCGATTTAGACTGGACCATAGAGCAGAGCTCTATTTTAGGTCGAAAGTTCCCGTGCATACATTTTTCTGTTAAGCTTTGTGCAGGGAACACGGGGATTCATTTACGGGTATAAACTAAAAGCACTAATTTTCTTAAAAAGTATTAACATTTTTTCTGCATATAGTTTAAAGTTATAACGAACATTATTTTTACTACTTTTTATTGCTATTATTTTATAAGTTTTTACTTTTGAATAACAGCATTCATTTATTTCATATTATTCTAAAACAGAATACAGAGAGTTTTAATACATATTATAATTGAATTTCGAAACAGTTTCTTTAAGTAGAGTTATTCGGAAGTTTACGACTTTTTAATTTTTTTTGTTTTCAGGTATTAGACACTGCTTTCTTAGTTAAAAATACGTTTCAATAATTAAATAACTATATTTTATTTGACATTTATGAAGCCATAAAGACATTATTTATTATTATTTATCGCCATTTTAAACTGATTTTCAAAAATTGAAAGAAAAGTTATGATTTTTTTTTTCTTTTAAAACGTATGAGTATCTCAAAATTTTCAATTTAAATAAATTAAAATGATTTTAGTTTGACAGAATATTTTGATTTTTTAAACAACACAAATGAATATAAAATACTTTTTCATAAGATAGAATTATACTTTTAACTTAGACGTGTTTTATTATTTAATGTAAACATTTGATTTATACAATTAATTGCATTATTATCAATATTAGAAATAGTATTATTAATTTTTATGTCATAATTGCATTTGTTTTAGGTGTAGGGACCTATTTAGGTTTTATTATTTAACTAATAAATAAAGATTACAACTCCACGTTATACCGCATAACAATATGTGCTCAAGCAGAACTAAAAAAGAAACTTAGAGTAGCGTCTTAACATTTAAGATTTAGTTAATGTGAGTAGGTATATGATTAACTTATTACTAGAGTAAGTATATGCCTAATTTATGATAGTATAACGTAACACTTCTCTATGCGTTGCATCACATTCCTTTAAAATAAATAGTTCAATATTTGATTGTTCTATTTTATGGCGTTAAATGTGTGTGCGTACATATTATGTTGTCGGTATAGGTATATCTAGATGTGTAATATAATATTATGTTTGTGACTGTCACAGGAGCGTATTATTATTATTATTATTATTATTATTATTATTATTATGGCGCTGTCCTGTATCGGTTTAAAACGGGGATGTTTGTTATAAGTTATAACATAATACCTATATAGATAACAAAAACATGAAAAAAAGTCAATAAATTAATTACCACGAGTGCGTCGGCCGTTCGAAACAACAACAATAATAATAATAATAATAATAATAATAGTAGTAGTAGTAGTAGTAGTAATAATAAAGAATAAATTAATAATCGGCGAAATAGTCGAAACACGGGGTTGTTTGGGGTGGGTGGCAGTGGTGTAGGTACCGTGTACATCGCGGTTTACGCCACTAGCTGAATAAACACACGTTTAATATTTATTAAACGAATAACAACAACAGCCGCGCAGCGATAGCGAGAATAAAATTCAAATAATATTATGTGTTATAACGCGTAGAAATATTTACAGTTGTGTCAGAATTAAAAACACAAATCGTTCGTGGTTCGCATAATATTATGTTGTGCACAATTCCCTCGTGCTCGCGATGCACACATCGTCAACAACGATGACGATAATAATAATTATTATGATGGCGATGGTGAAGATGATAATAATCAAAATACAAAATTATTTGGAAAGCAATGTATATTAATATTATTATATATATATATTATTTTTTGCTCGCACCACCTTTCACCAAGTCCCTTCATTTATCACCGTCCGTGTCTGTACATTATATACACACATATTCTGAAGCGCCAACGTTTATATTTAATATTATATTAATCATATTATTATTGCCGACTCGTCCGATCAATGAGTGGAATTTGATAAATGAAAAACGACAACGTGCCTACCTGTTTGTTTCGCCCGATCCTTCTTGCGTATAATATGCTGTGCAAACCAATAACAGCGGTCTTGAAATTCGATTTCGATTTATGTTTGCGTACAACATTATTATTGGATTCGGCTTTTCCTTCCATCCTTTTTCTTTCTCTTCTAGTCTCCTCCAATTAATCTATTCGTCAAATCCTATTGCATATCAGTCGTGTATATATATTTGTATATTACCATCTCGAACATTTCCTGTACCTTGTGGTCTGGGTAACGATATTATCCTGGACGTAATGTTAGATATGAGTAATCGAATTTCGAAGAAGAGAATTGTTTTCTCAAAAAAGTTCGGACAAGTGTTTTCAAAAACACCAATAGCTACACTACGTAGTCACACCACAGTTTAATTTGGCAGCATAGAATAATGGTGTACAATGTAGGTATAACTATAATAATACTCATAGTTATGATGTATTCAAAAGCTGTGGCTTAATATTATCTGTAGTGAATAAATAAAACACACAAATCAATATACTCATACTATTAACAAAATCATTATAATATCATAAAATCATCAGTGTTCCTACCCTGAGACTTATAGCCATTGGACACCCAAATTCACATTCCGGGGCACCACACTATTTGAGGCACTTAATAAATTGCTTTAACTGCAGCTTTAAATGTATATAATTGTAAGGAATGAAGATTAGAATTTTCAGCCATCCTTGTGGAAATTAAAATATTTTTCATATAATATTATATGTGTTGGTCATCAAAGCCACTGTAGTACACTAGTACCCTTTAGTCACGGTCCACATGCATATGTCTCCAATCGTAAATTTATTTTTATACATATTAATATACTAATATAAAGCACTGTTATACATACCAGAGAAGATTTTCTCCCCTCGGATATTGACTTTGACTGTGCCTAACAAATTAGTTCAAAAGCAAAATATAATATAGTTGATTCTTTATATTATTACATACTTACTAAACCCACGGTCTGTGCATCTAGGAATAATGACTCGTTACCAAAAATAGATCAATCGACACTGGTGCAGAATAGACGTACCTATACATTCGCTAGACTAAGTCAGTAAGTTCTATATAGAATTGCGTGGTTATGTATTTATGCGTATATATCTATATAGGCTACTATATATATTTATCATATAATAAGAAGTACATACTGCAGAGCTGGCAAAAACGATCATAAATCACAACGGATTATGTAATTATACAACGTATGCCTACATAACATTGGAAATAATATTGTACCTATAGTACTATAGGTTAGGTTAGTAGATGACTATATTAAACATATCTACTTTTTAACTTTTATATTTATATGTATGACAAAGTTTGAAAAACATTTTAAAAAAATTACACACCTATATACTTCCATACGTTGATTATACAGACATTATTGTTATAAAACAATAATAATCACATTTTTAGTAAATACGTGTCTGTTTTATTTGTTCTTCGAGGTGGTTCAATTTGCATAATGTCTGTGACTATGATATTATGTTTACTGTTGTAATATTGTATTATGATTCGATTTGGTACGCTCACTCACACTGAAACACATATCAGCTATTACCTATATATGAACGGGTATAATATAGTATATTATGTATGCGAATACTGTTCCCTGCGACAGATAACGCGGAGTAACTTGAAGGTACTATAGACTTGCTGGTTGTCCATTGATTTATGTCTATGAATAAATACGCATCGAACGATCCTCATATAATATAGGTTTATAGTACTATGATAGGTAATGTACGCTTATACATATATGTGTATTGTTACCTTAGTACAGACCATAGACCTATAAATATGCATACCTATATGGACTGCGCTTTCCAACCCACCAGTCGTGTATGGCTGTCAAAATTGTATGAGAAGGATGACAATAGTTAGGGACAGTCGTGGAATGAATACGTCTAAATTGTAACTACACCATGAAAATGATAATAGTTGTTATCATTATCAATTATATATTGCAGTCTAGTGATGTAAATAGAACAAGACAATGATTATTTCATGGTGAAAATAAAAATACTGAAGACAACTTCTTCCACTCTTGCCCCTAACAATCGCTATCTCTCTCAATGAATATCGGTCCCGGTTCTTTTTCTCCGAGTCGACGGTCGTTTTCCGGCTATATCATACCTATGTACCACACTGGCTTGATATGCCCGTTAAATTAATGTATAATACTAAAATGTCATCGTAATTTAACTCACCGTACTATTTAATATCCATAAGTTTATGTCGTTTTATTTCTGTGTATAGTATCGGCGTGGGAAGGGCACATTTTGAGAAGCAACCTCCGAGCAATCTGAGAAAATCCAATTTCTTTCATTTCGTCATCGCACTGTACGACAGGTCTCAGCAGCCAATTGAAATCGAACGGACCGCGTTCATCGGATTCATCGAAAAGGATCAGGTAAGCTTTATTATATATACCATAAGTATACATTTTTTTTTCTGTTAATGACCACTATTTGTGATTCCTTTACGACTTGTCTATTTGTACGTTTTATCTAATCGTGCTCACAGCGTATATATATAAAGTACAATGTGTGTATACAGACGGCGTGTATTGTACAGTAGGTATATAATATATAATAGTATTATATTGTGTATGATAATATGTTATACCTATTTGTGTAGTACAGCATTAAAACAACAAAACAGGAATACACGACGTTTGGCCCTGTTTTTATTTATCATTTAAATATAATAATATTATGATGTAGTAATATAACATGATAATGCGTGTGTGTTTATTTATACATTTTTTTTTTTTTTATTAAATTTACTACTTCTTCGTTTTGTTTCGTCATCAATCATCATCCCTAAAATCGTTGCAGCGTGTGATTAATCAAAAACGATTTGGTGCAAAACCCCGTTTGTCACACACGGCGAGCCGAGAGATGATGATTATAATATAATATACACAAAAGCCGCGACGGGTTAATCCGGATTTAAGTTTATCTCCAAAAGTAGGTGACGACAATGAATAACACGAAATAATGAATAATGATATAAACGCAACAAATAACTGTATATTATAATAATATAATTATTTAATACACACGAATAATATTCACTTTGTGCCTGCCAATTAATCAAACAGACGCTCTTCGATAATTTTATGTCTTATAATTGTATATATTATATAAATATAGGTTAACCGTCACTTTACTCGCTGTTAAGGTATAGTGTCAAATCTGACTCCGGAAGCTGCGGCCTAGCTGTATCCGTAATAATTGTATATTTAGAGTTCAGAAATGCATATTATTTCATAATGTTCGGTAAAATGATTTAGTAATGACACGTCATTTTGGATGCGATTGATTTATTTTCCCGCTCAAAATGGATTTGCACTGATTTAATAATACAATGAATACGACCAAAACACTACCTCAGAGAACTATCATACGTCATGGAATTCTTGTGAATTCATCCATATTACATTGACATGTTGTATTGTGCTCGAAGTACGCGCGTGCACATCACAATACCATTGCCGTTTTGGTAATAATAATACAACTTTGTTACGCGCTCTATGAAGACAGCGTTTGCCTTTCATACTATAACAAAGATTATTCCTCCACATGTTTTATTTTTACAATGTGTTAAAAATATAAAATCTCTGAAATCGCCATATTCATCGTTTTGTCAGATAAGTATAACGTCCATTGCCTATGATTAATGTACAATTTCGCCCAAGTAGTTATTCACCAATTTTTATAATGGTTTAAAATGTAATTTTAGCCATTTGACAATCTTAATTTCGTGTTCACAATTACCAGACCTCAGAATTCAGATTGATACTGGCGTAAACCACGATTAATGCGTTGCCATTTATTTCTTAACGTCTGGCAATATAATATGGTGTCCAACAAACATGTGCAATGTCGTCAGGACCTGTTATTATTAGTAATATTATAATATTATGTTTTGAATTTTTATAATGATGCTTTGGGATCGCCATATGACACTTTATATATAAACGCGATTTATCATACTAAAACTTCAAGTCTCGGCGTACTTCTTAACATATATTACTTACCAGCCTCGGACAACCACACACCAGCAGTCGAGGTCACCCGGACCCGAAACAAAAATTTGAACCTAATCGATTTTGATCATAACAATCGCCACTCACTAAATATAACAATATTGTACAGTAAACATATTTTAGTTTGATTAGTGTGTCGCGTTTGTACCCGCTACGGGCGGAGCGCGTACATTGTACATAATATGTGCACACCTATGTTCGTATAACACACACCACACCCGTCACCCACATCATATACCCACTCTGTTTGCGTATACAGTGTTCGCAGACGACGGAGCTCGTCGTTTGTTACACAGACTTTCGTGGATGAGATACATACATATATATATATATATTTGGCGATAAAGTGCATGTTCCGATAAGTCAAAGTCTGTTTGTTTTGATGATTCCGCGCTCGCACAAAACCTGCTGCTGTAATACATAATCAAACATGAATCTTGTATGTACGTTTCAGGAATCCGAGTCGCAGAAGACCAACAACGGTATTCAGTATAGACTACAGCTGTTGTATGCTAACGGTAATGAACGTGCGCTATCTCTCAAAAGCTAACTAAGCTAATACCGGTACTGTTTTATTTATTTAGGTGTGCGACAAGAACAAGACATATACGTGAGGCTCATCGATACCGTTACCAAACAGGTGAGTGATTTTTTTAACGTATTGTAATACCATACTAGTTATTAATAGGTACTATATAAGTTGGGCGTAACACAATGTTTAATGGCTACGTTCGGTAAATTAACTATAAAGTTATAATTATTTATCACTTTGGAGGGGAGGTGTGTACTATTATAGAATTCTATATTATGTGGGATATCTTTAGGTACACACGAACTAGGCAAACACTTATTCTATAGAAATATTAAACCAAAAGCAAAAATAAGGGATAGGTGAAGCGTTTATTTCCACGCTCCTGCGAAGAGATCGTTTCTGTTTTCTGCGATGTTTGTTAGAGATAATTTTCAGTTCAAAAGCGATTGATCGCGAAGTGTGTGAAGTTGGGGCACATCGACTGCATTATATTATAATGACTTCAAACATTAATCGATATTTAGCAAGTATAGTAATTAAGTAATTGTAATAGTCACTTATTCGGCGGGAAAAAAATGCGAAAATATGGGCAAACTTTGCACGTATACATAAATAGCCCTCGATGATCGATCCCAGAATATCAAACAATGTTCATATCGAAGCCCGTATTTCGCCCTAAATTGCAAAGTAAGCTCTATGCAAAGCCACGCCTGTATCTATTATTATAGCATAAAATAATTAATAATACAGCTATACTGTTTTGATAAAATAAAATGCTGAAAACGCTGTCGTCGTCGCAAATCCGCAAATCGCTCCGAGTGAGGCCGAGGATTTATAAATTACATTTTTGTGTTATGTATACCGTCACCGTTAATCGAAACCGTATTATAATTGTCACCGTTTTATATGGCCGGTACACTCTATCTCTATACGCATGCAGTTTGCCAATCGAATTATACCTATTCATATAATCATATTATTATTTATTATGTCGTGTGGGCACCTACGTTTACGCGACGAAAAAATACAATCGGATGCCAACACAAAGCGACACGTTCGGTTGTGTAATTATTATTTGCGTTGCTGTTTAGGCGTGTGTGAGCTTGAACGTTTATGTATTATATAATATGTTTATATATATAGTAGATGGCCTGTACCTGCGTATGTGTGTTCAAAGAGACGATGCGATTTGGAGCAAACAACGAGTGATTTTTTCATCCACTTCGTGTACAGAAAAAAAGGTTTTATTTGCGTTTAATTTCCGATTTTTTCGTTGTCGAAAAGAGATGTCGTCGACGAAAAGGGTCGAGGGGTAAAGCCGTAGTAAAGGACCGACGTCGAGAGTGGTTTACGGTTGTATTTGTATATACAACCGTATATATACTGACTGTAGAGTATGTGTATTATATTAATATTATATTTTTTATCTGGCGAATCCGATTTACGTGCTTCAATGATATATATATGTAGACATATAGCATATATAAGCACACGAAAAAGTCGTAGGCAATAAGCGATCGATGTATCAAACATATTCTTAAGTAACGCTAATATATTTTATTCTGCATAAGCTAAAATTGTTCGTCTTCGTCTCGTTCAAATATAGTACAAAACATAGTATTACGGTATTCATCATTAGTGTTATTGAATTTATTCTTCAAATATATACTACAGGTACAGATACCGTTATTGGAATTTAACACTTTTAAGTATAAAAGAAAATATGATAGAAAACTTAACTCTTGACTATAATATAATATAATATATATGTATATATTATTTAATTTTAGTTTCGATTATTTTCAAAAATGTTGTTTTGTAATGAAAAAATATGATTCCATAAACGTTTATACTTTTCGATAAAATAAGTGTTTACCTTTAAAACAACCACTCCGCGAAATGTGTACCTTGCGTCCAACAGTTTGAATTTGTTTACATTGCAGAAGTTTTCATTGAAAGATCTTCTTTATAAAATATCACACCACTCATTATTTCGGTTGCGTTACGTTATCTTAGGTCCAGAATTCGGATATCACCTATGGCGGTGGCGCCTCATCGTTACCTATTCTATATAGTAGTTATAGTTGTTCTCGAAAATACTGCCGACGGATCGTCCGCAGCCGATCGTGTTTGTCCTCAGGCCCGCGTGATTTCAAACAATTGTAATCATATTTTAATCATCATATACAATACAATGTTATAAAAAAAATATTATATTACTCGAACGTCACGTGCGACCAGGGGAGTGCAAACGCGTGCGTGCGAGTGCAGTGCCGGCGGCACGTGCCACGCCTCCCCGTTTCCACCGCCACCGCAGACGCCGCCGCCATAATCTGATCCTCTCAGTGACGCGCGTCGCTCGCCGCCGCTACTGTCCGTCCGGCGTACGCCCACTAAACGGCTTTATCAACACGCATATTATACACGATGTTTTATTTTTACGTATATAATATTATAATGTATGTATGTATGTATGTATAGGTACATGCACACGACCGTCGTCGTGTTTGTGACGATTATTATTACGATTACGTTCGTTAAAATCGATGATTGAGGTCCGTCCACCACGCACCCCTATATTCGAACATCCCTTGTTTTATTTTTCTCGTGTTTCCCGCTCTCGTACGTTTTATAGACTCATCATAATATATTTATAAATGTACACATAGAATTTATAAAGACACCTAATATATGTATATATTATGAGTAGGTATTACCTTTATTATATTATTGTAATCTATATAGTATACTTCGATTTGTTAAAAACACTAATAATTAGTTATTATCATCTCAAAACCCTTATAGACAAATTATGATAGACCTGTCTAACCTAACCTGCAGGTACCAAGTGGCAACGTGGGTACTTTACAAAAATATTATAGCATGTACATTCATTTTTTTATCTATTTACAATTATTAATTTATTATTAATTATTATATAAACATAACTGCGTAAATATTAAGCTATACGGTCTACTATTTTGACTCTAGAGTAAATAAGTAAATTATGACTTCAATTACAACCAAATAGATCTTCTATAAACCTAAAAAAAATCTCCGGCAGGCAAATGTTTTCTCTATATTTTATTCTTGCAATGGCACACAGACCATATGCAACATAACGAAAATTCTCACTGCACATCACTTAAACACACGAATGGTGCTATATATTGGGTTTGCCACGGATGAAGAACTATGATTCAACCGTGATTCAATCATGATTAAACCTTATCGCCATTTCACGAGGTCTTTAAATATCATATCTACGATAAAGTTAGAATCTTGAGCAAAGGATATAGGTACCTAACAATATTATATAATATTATATTAGGTTTAAGTATAATATAATTTATACATCATATATACAGGGGTTATGCCTCGAAAGCGTACAAAATGAAAGTTTAAATCGAATTTTCCTTGAAGTCTGCAGACACTCTTTATACACTTTGTACGCGATGTACTATATTTTATCTTTATAATATTTTATGGATCGTATTTTGACTGTCGGGGTGCGCGAGCACTAGAAATGAAACTATATTATTAAACCTGTTGCGCGACAATTCGCATGGATATCTTACATGATATATTTAATATATTCACACAATGCGCATATATTACCTACCACAATTGGATATTATACAATATTATACATACCTACATAATAAAGGATCGATGACGTCGAAAAATGTCATGTTAAGTTCATATGCTGTATATATTATGTGAACTAATCCGCAGAAGACATGAAGTTCATCATATTATAGTTACCTAAACATGGTCATTCAGATTTTGCATTCCACGAATGGTATAATATAATATTGGAAATCCATTGGGGATCACATTTGTCCATAAAGTATGACCCCCAGTTTTACAGTGACGTAAAATCCGAATAACCACGTATGTGTACACCAGCTATACACAAAGTGTTAAAGCAAGCAAACTCATCCCAATGTTTTTCCTTAACATTCATTTATGAAATTCTGATTTTTTAATGTTTTAATTTACTTAAGGTTCATATTTTTAAATAATTATATTTTCATAAAATTTAAAGAGTGTCCTGTAGTCTTATCAACTTCTTTTTTTAAATGAAAAATTCCTTTTTTTCAATTACTTAGATGATTTTTTGAAAATGTCGTAAGACACTCCTTGAATGGTATATTGAGGTGGATGTGGATGTACTTAATACTGTATAGTGGTTAGTGGTTCCTTCCCCAGTTGTGATAATACATAGCGAAAAAATCATGTATAAAATCTAAATAATTTAAAATTGGTTCTTAAGAGGACGTTATACCCTCTTATATTGAGAAAATCTATTTCACTTTTTTTTTTAATATTAAAATGAATTATTATTGTAAAATTTTGAAGGCAAAAACATTATCTTTAAATTTGATAGTAAGTAAATTCTCTATTATGTAAAAATAAATAATAGAGTAAAACGGATTTTTCTGAATTTCTGATGGTATAAAAAAGAGATTTTTTTCTTCATCAATTTAATTAATTTTTGTAGAAGTATACTGCATGTAGAATATTATACATAAGAATATATTATTATGATCCAATACAGCGGACAATGAAAACACTTTACATTTCGGTTCACTCCTCATTGTTCCGGAACAATAATATATCCATAATATGATGGCTATAGCCCATACTATAGTACATGTATCATATTATATATATAATATATACCTTTAAAAATGAAATGAAAATATTATCTGCAACAATTTTATTTTAGCCTTTAGTCTTCACCTAATCCTTACCGTATATAGTTATCTAAAAATAGTCTATGTACCTACAACCTACCTAATGCGTACAAAACTACAAAATATGTACAGGTGGCTAAATAAAGGTATATATCATTTTTTCGCTGCATTCACTAAGATATTTGTACCCAATGTTTCATTTATTTATTTTTTAAAAACAACCTTTCGTCTTTATTAATACAGTTCATATCATTTTGTATACACAAAAATATCAAAAGTTTAATTTAAGCTTATCTCATAAAATTGACCAGCTAGGAAAACTATTTTTCATAGAATTCTCGACAAAAAAAATGCATTATTAGTGATACTTTATATTTTCAAAAACCAAGTGACCAAATAGGTAAACTT